AGACTCTCTCGGAGCAGGCTATGGCGTCAGGCGGCGGCGGTAGACAGACCCCAGGCAGCCCGCGGGTGCTGGTGGTGGGCGGCGGCATCGCGGGGCTGGGCGCCGCGCAGAGGCTGTGCCATTACTCTGCCCCCCCGCACCTGCGCGTCGTGGAGGCCACGGCCCGCGCCGGGGGCCGCATCCGCTCGGAGCGTGGCTTCGGTAACCGCCCCGACCCCTTAACTCCAACTAGCTGCGCCCAAGCCCCTCAGGGCCTTTGCCGGGAAGTCGTACCAGGCTCACTAGGGGCCCAGTAGGTTGCGTGGCGGCACAGAGGAGTTCCTTGTGTGTCCCGGCCCGAGCTGCAGAGTGATGGGGCGAATGGCCCTAGGAAGACGGAATCTAGCCAGCTAGACACCTTCCTGGCTCAGATTGGCAGATAGGCAATCAGTGCCGAATGAAAGCCATCTCGCGTAGCCCACGTTTACTGGGCCCCGAAACTCAGCTGCTCCAACTTCGTTGGATTCCTGGCTTGGAAGGAGCCCAAGCCCCTGAATAGTGCCTCCCTCCCTCCAAGACCTGGGGACCTTTAGGTAGTCCTTACCCCTAAGCTGTTCCTACAACAATCCTACTCCCAGGTGCTTAAAGCCGGTCTGGGAACCTGCTTTTGGGACCACTTGGCTCTCAGGGACAGTACCTGGTGGCCCTTGGGGCTGGCGTAGCCTTCCAGCTGGTTTCCAAAACGCACTTAGGAAGGGAAGAACAGTGTGGTCCCCACCTCTCTCGGGAGAGGACCTCCAGGTGGTGTCTCTTTGCCTCCCCAGGTGGTGTGGTGGAGGTGGGAGCACATTGGATCCATGGGCCTTCCCAGGGCAACCCTGTCTTCCAGCTGGCTGCTGCGTTCGGGCTCCTGGGGGAGAAGGAGTTGTCGGAAGAGAACCAGTTGGTGGATACAGGAGGCCATTTAGACCTGCCCTCCATGTGCTGTACCAGTTCCGGGACAAGGGTTAGCCCTGAACTGGTGGCAGAGATGGCCAGTCTGTTTTATGGGCTGATAGACCAGACCCGAGAGTTCCTGCATGTGGCTAAGACCCCAGTGCCCAGTGTCGGGGAGTACCTCAAGAAGGAGATTGGACAGCAGGTGGCCCACTGGACAGAGGACAAGGAGACCAAGAAGCTCAAGCTGGCCATCCTGAACAACTTCTTCAATATGGAGTGCTGCATAAGTGGCACCCATAGCATGGACCTGGTAGCTCTTGCACCCTTCGGGGAGTACACTGTGCTGCCAGGGCTGGACTGCACCTTTTCTGGGTATGGGACCAGGCCCTGCCTGCGCTGGCACCCTCAGTGTACTCCAGGGCCAAGGGACTGGCTGGGCTCTGACCTCTGGCTTTGGGAGGCAAAAGAGGGGTAGCGGGGGAGTGATAGGAGGTGTTTACACTTCTTACTGAGAGAAATTGGTTGCTCATTTCCTAATTTGCTCACTTAAGCAAAAAAGAGTCGTTTTTAAGGAAATGACTGGGGAAGGAAGTTTTCTTGGACTTCCCCTTCTTTCTGTATGTCCTAAGGCTTTGGATGTGTCAAGTGTTAGGTGAATGGTTTCAGATAGGCCCCTTCCATATGGCAGGGTGCTGCCCCTGGCAGGCAAAGCAAGATCCTACAGGGCTGTCCCATTGGATTCTCCCAAATACCAGCCCCAGGGTGGGTATTTGTGATGCAGAAATCCCCAGAATCAGAATTCTGGTGTGAGTAAGGAGGGAATCCTGATTCTTGTATGAATAACCTTGGCAGCTTGGTGTTCATTAGCTCACTCAATCCTCCCATTAGCCAGGAGGAGGGTATTAACATTCCTGTGGTTTAAGGGGAAAACTATAGCACACTCCCACCTGGAACCTTCTCTATTCTTTGGGCCGGAGTGATACTTGCTACCTTTGACATAGATGAGAACTTGGAGGGTTGATTTTTGCCTGTCCTACCCTTCCAGGGATTGGCTTTCTAAGCATTAATTTCTTTCTCTTCTAGGGGCTACCAGGGACTCACAAACAACATAATGGCCTCCTTGCCAAAGGACGTGATGGTTTTTAACAAGCCTGTGAAGACTATTCACTGGAATGGGTCCTTCCAGGAGGCAGCGTTTCCCGGGGAGACCTTTCCTGTGTTGGTGGAGTGCGATGATGGTGGCCGCTTCCCAGCCCATCACGTCATCATCACTGTGCCCTTAGGTAGAGCTCATTTTTCTGGTCAGGTTTTCAGTTCCAATCCTTAGCCCTGAGCCCTTGTGGTACCCTACCACACTGCTGTTTGCACAAATGGATCACGCTACTACACATAGTTCCTGTCTGCTTTGGTGTTTTTTGTTTTGTTTTGTTTTTCAGTACTGGGAATTGAACCCATGCCTTTCACACTGAGCTACATTCCCACCACTTTTTTTTTTTATTTTGAGACAGGTCTCACCAAGTTGCCCACCCAGGCTGGATTTGAATTTTGATCCTCTTGCCTCAGCCTCCCAAATGCTGAAAATATAGGTGTGTGGCACCACTGCAAGCTGCCTTGTTGTTTTTGTTTTTGTTTTCTGCCAGCTGCCTTGTTTTTTGTCACTGTCTCCAAATCAGCACGTGGTCTTATTGTTGAACACAAAGTGGCTTTGTTCATTCATATTTCTAGTTCATGTTCACTGAGCCTATCAAGTGCTGATCCCTGGGGAGGTGGGGATAGTTATGACCATTAGGTCATTATGTTCACAAAGAGCAGTTCTGGGCTTATATCTGTTCTTAAACCACATAGCATTTTCTTTTAAGTAGATGTCATTATTTAGTGAATATTAGCAGAGGTTTGTGGTTCTCACTTTGCCTATTTTACATTGTGCTTGTACTTGCATTTGAAAGCTCTTGTGTCAAAACTCTTGTGTCTGAAGGATAGAGTCTAGTCGTGGCAGTTGTTGGTCAAATATCTGAACAGAGGAACCCTGTATGTGTTCCCATGAGCCCTTTTCCTGTCTTACTGCCTCTTGATGACTTTGCTGTTAGGTTTTTCTTCCTTTTATTACTGACCTTTGCAGGTACCTTTCCAAAATTGGCTTTTATCTCAGATTGCAAATGTTTTAACCCCTTGTTTGACTTCATTGTTTTCATCTTATTGTCTGCCTTTGGGCTTAATTTATTGCAGTACTGGTGATCAAATCCAGGGATGCTGTACCACTGACCTGCATCCCCAGCCCTTTTTTATTTTTATTGTGAGATAGGATTTCACTGAGTTGCCCAGGCTGATTCCAGCTGTAACTCTCTTGCCTCAAGTGCTGGGATTATAGTTGTGTACCACCACACCTGGCTTAAATTATTTATGTATTTATTTTTTGGTTTTTTGGGGGACGAGGTCCTGCTATATAATCCATACTAGTGTGGAACTCGCAGCAGTCCCCTGCCTCAACCTCCTGAGTGCTGAAATTACAGGCAGGCACCACCATGCCTGGCTTTATTTTTTTGTCATGCAGAGTAATCTTTATGTAAGTTTTTAGTGTGCTAGGGATGTGGTTCAGGGTAGAGTGTTTGTCTGGCACATTGAGGTCCTACATTCTAAGCACTACAAAGGAAAAAAAATATACAATAAATATATCATATATATATCATATATATATACATCTTCTGAATGCAGCCTGTGTATTTGACCACTTCTCAAGACAGATCTTGAGCCATGTGACCTACAGAGTGGAGAGGCAGAGGCTCTAAACTGTTCCTGCAGACCAGTCTGTACAGGGTCAACCTAACTGTCCCTGTGTGATTAGTCGTGGAGAATGGGCCTGTTGTGTCCCTCTAGTGTGGTGCTAGTTGCCCTTGAGCCCTGCTGGCCAACCTTGTGTCTGTATCCTCCAGTTCTGAATGAACACATGGCATGCCTAGAAGCCTCTTTCTCTCATTTGTCTAAGTAGAATCATGGGATCTGGTTGCTGTGGATTCTAGTTGAAGATTAATGTGGTGTAAGGCACATCTGAATCTGAATTCCAGGTTTTCTGAAAGAACATCAGGACACCTTCTTTGAACCGCCGCTGCCTGCTGAGAAGGTGGAAGCAATCAGGAAAATAGGCTTTGGGACCAACAACAAAGTCTTCCTAGAGTTTGAAGAACCCTTCTGGGAGCCAGACTGCCAGTTCATTCGGGTGGTGTGGGAGGACACGTCGCCACTGCAGGACACTACCTCTGGGCTGCAGGACACCTGGTTTAAGAAGCTCATTGGGTTTTTGGTCCTACCTTTTTCCAAGTATGTATATGTCCAAAGACTCTGAGGAAGCCTCAGGGCCAATTTACAAAGTCTTAGATTGCATGAGGATTTAGCTGTGTGTGGTTCACTGCCAGGCATTTTTGAGACCTTCATAGCTAATTGCTCTGGGCTCAGCATCCACTTCATGTGGACTTTGTATGCAGGGAACATTGCCTCTGTTAACTCATTTATTCCTCCTGGGAGCCTTAGCAGGTGTCTTTCACTACACAGGCCCACAAGATCCTGGGCCTAGTACCCTGGAGGGACAGGTGAAGGCTAATTGTATGCAGGTCGTTAGTGTCTTTAGTGTCCTAGAATGTGCTGGTAGACTTAAAGGAATCCATGAGAAAGTGCTTATTGGAATTCTATAGAAAGTGATGGCTTGTAGATAAAGAAAAAATTTGAAACATGGATTTGACTACCAGGGACGGCGACATTCAAATGGAATACAAAAACTGAGGAAAAGATCCTAAGTAATAGAATCAAAGACCCATGGGTGAAGGGCTCAGCTGAATAGCCCAGCTGGCCTACAAAACAGCATATATGGACCAGGACTAGGGTCCTGGGAGCTAATTCAGGAAATGACATCATGATATATGGACAAAGGACAGATTTTTCTGGCAAGATCAGAACACCCCCAGTGTACTTTGATCAGATGGCATAGAGGTTCCACATTCTGTTCAGAGATGTGGAAGGAGAAGGACTATATTCTTAGCCTGAAAGGCAGACTAAGGGTCGGGGAACAGGAGGCTGTGACCTCAGCAGACCCTACCCCCACCAAACCTGGGAGGAAGTGAGCTGTTTGTCCCATTTCAATGAAGAGAAAATCAACTCTTCAGGAGTTTGGAAATGGGCCAGGGTTGCAGTGGGCACTGAAACGAGTGGCCAGTGGACCCAGCCACCTATTCCAGCCCTGCCTCTGAAGCCTGAGTCCTGTAGCATAGGATGTATTTAGGGACAGAAACCCTGGGAACCCTGAGCAACTTACCAGGATGCTGTCTATGGGAGGGCAGTGGTTCCCAGTTTTGTGATTCAGAATCTCCTTGAAATGTTTAGGATAAGCTGGCATGGTGGCTGTAATCCCAGCACTCAGTAGGCTGAGGCAGGAAGATCCTTGCAAGTTTGAGACCAGCCTGGGCTACAAAGTGAGCTCAAGGTCAGCCTGAACTGCATACTGAGAACTTGTCTCAAAAAGACAAAAAAAAAAAAAAAAAGTTTAGGATAGGGCTGGGTGTGGCTCAATGGTACAACGCTTGCCTAGTATGTACAAGATCCTGAGTTCAACTCCCAGCACTGCAAAATAAATAAATAAATAAATAAATAAAAGCTTAGGATCTCAAAGAGCTTTTGGTTCATGTGGAGTATGTCTATATGTTTACAGGAGAAATTAAAACAGCAACTTAAAAATATTTCTAATTTAAAATGACAGTAATACATTATTGCATGTTAGCATAAATAAAATGAAAGATAACTATATTATCTCAGACAAATTTAATAAGGGTAACAAGAGTTTTGTCTTTTCTCCAAATCTCTTTGCTATCTGGCCACATAGAAGATGAGAGATTCTCAGAGTTGTTTCTACATTTTTCCTATTGTGGTATTTTATTTTGGCGGAAAGATGAAAAGTTAGGATCAACACAGATATACAGTTGGAAGAAGACAGTAATATTAAAATAGTTTTTTTGATGGTTGTGGATATTCTGTGGGACAACACCAAACCCAAGACCTACAGGCTGACCTTGAACTTACTGTGTAGCCCTGGTATTCTTAGAGGTTGGCCAGATGTGGAGTCTATGGCTGTAGGGATGAGCTTTGTACTTTGTTCTACTGAAGTGTTTGCTTGTCTGGTACTTTGAATGGATCTTTTGCCTATCCCAATTTCTGTCATTTAGAATATACTGTTTTGTGCAGTCTTCCATATGGTGACATATTTTGTTATATAGTACCAAAAGTTAAACTTACTAATATCACCACTGATCTCAGAAAAGTCTTTCAGTTTTGGGAAGCTGTTATACTGTTGGTAGGAGATACAGATTTTGTAAAATTCAAGGTTTTGCTTAAGAGCTTAAATTTCATTGTCATCAATAAATAATGTTTGCCAGTTGTTCTTCTGTGAGAAACACATTGCTCATTTAGAAAATATCTAAATGGTACAGCTTGTCTGTCAGGTGTTCTTCGGGCATAAATGGTGTCCATGAGGTAGCTTATGGTTCAGTTAGCCTCAGAAATCGTCATTACCATGTGCAGCAGAAATGCCTATTTCCGATTTCTTCACACAGATTATTAAAAAGGGTACTTAAGGGTGAATATTTAATAAAACCAGTAACTTTTACAGCTTTATCATGGGCCTTCTCAAGGGAAGCTGGCTGGCTATTTATTTATTTATTTATTTATTTATGTTTTTTGAGACAGGGTCTTACTATGTAGTTCAGGCTGACCTTGAACTTACTGTGTAGCCCTGGCTGGCCTCGAACTTGTGGCTGTACTCCTGCCTCAGCCTCCTGAGTGCTAGGATTATAGGTGTGCACCACCATGCCCAACCCAGCTTTTTTTTTTTTTTTTTTAAATCACATGCGTGATGGTAAAGAACATGACCCTGCTACTGCAGTTTGTGTCTCTGCCTCTGATCTGTGAGGGAAAATTTACCTACCTCTGTTCTTGCTCATTGGTGCAAATGGTGATGTAATAGAAGGTGCAAGTGCTATGTTAGTGTTGTGAAAAGAGCCTGACACACTGAGAATAACTGCCCTGGGCAAGCTCAAGGCACCACTCTGTCTGGGAATGGCGAAAGGCCTTGGTTGGGTCTTTGAGAGAGATGGCAGAGCTGAGCTAACTGTAGCTCATCTCAGTGGTCCTTCTTTCCACGCAGGTCTGTGCACGTGCTCTGTGGATTCATTGCTGGGCTGGAGTCTGAGTTCATGGAGACACTGTCCGATGAAGAAGTACTTCAGTCTTTAACCCAAGTGCTCCGGAGAGTGACAGGTACTTACTTATTACAGGAAATCACAGCAATGTCACTATTGGCTGATCTCTAAACAGGAAACAAACTTTTTAGAACAAAGAAGAACTGAACTCTGATGTACATCTCCAGACAACCTTTCCTCATATTAGCGTAGTCAGTAACAGTTTTTATTGCCAACGAAGTATAATGACTTTAAAAATAACTTTCTACTCATTTTCTTTAAAATGTGTCACAAAATAAATGAAGTTATCCTTAACCAGATTCTTTCATATGAAGAAGTGAGGCTTAGAAAAGCTGTGCAGGCAGTCAGGGGTCACTTGAGTTAATTAAGTGCTGGGCTCAGTGCTGTTGCCTATTGTCGTCTGTGTCAGTCAGTTTTTGGTCACTGTGACAAAATGCCTGCATAAAGTAAGGGAAGAAAGACTTAATTTTGGTTACAGTTTCAAAGGGTTCAGTCCAAGGTTGGCTTATTCCATTGCTTTTAGGTCTGGGACAATGCAAACCGTTACTGCAGACAGGTGGAGGAAGGCTGCTCACCTCTTGGGAGTCAAGAAATAGAGAGGGAAAGAGCTGGACAGAAAGGTAAAGGGATGAGATAGGGTCCACAAAGTCATATGTCCATGATTCACTCCCTTCACTTAGGTCATGTCACTTAAGTTTCTATCACCTGTCAGTGCCATCAAATTGTGATCTTATCAATGGATTAATCCACTGCTCAAGTTAGAGCCTTCATGGTCCAATCTCTTTCTGAAAACCGCACCTCTGAAAGCATGAGATTTCTAGGGGACATTTTAGGTCTAAACTATAATAGTGTCTGCTTGTTCCTTGCACTGCATAGTAGAGCAGCTAAGGCAGAAATAGCCTCTTAAATATACACTTGGTGGCTTGCTTTGCTTCCTGGCGCTTGTCTTTTATTTTAAACAGCTGAGTCTTTTTTTTTAGGCAGGTTCTTGCTATGCAGTCGAGGCTGGCCTTGAACTCACTATGTAGCCCAGGTTGGCCTTGAACTCAGCATATGTCTGTAATCCCAGTGATCCTCCCGGTTCAGTCTCCCGAGTGCTGGGATTACAGGCATATGCTATCACATCTGGCTAAACTGCTCAGTTTTTAAAATGAAAAACTGATTGACAACACATGGGTGAGACCTTTGGTTAATGTGCCATATCTCTGTTTCAGGAAACCCACAACTACCTGCACCCAAGAGTGTGCTGAGGTCTTGCTGGCATAGCACCCCCTATACTCGGGGTTCCTACAGCTATGTGGCCGTGGGCAGCACTGGAGATGACATGGACCTACTGGCCCAGCCCCTCCCTGCAGATGGCACTGGCCCCCAGGTATAATGACAGGCAGTGGGGGTGGAGCCCTGGATGTGGAGCCCTGGGGTCCCTCTGTAGAAACCCTACTGCTGAGACTGAGAGGTGCTGGCGTCTTAGGGGGAGGGGGGGGAATGGGTCCTCTCAGACTCAGAAGCCATTTTCTTTTCAAAATTAAGAATGATTTAAGAGTGTATTATTGGGCTGGGGATATAGCTCAGCAGCACAAGTGCCTGCCTGGCAAGCACAAGGTCCTGAGTTTGATTTCTAGTACCAAAAAAAAAAAAAGTGTATTATCTGTATCAGAATTTTACATACATTTAATGTAAAGAGATAGGATTCTATAATGCTGGCTAACAAAATAAAATGAAACAAAAGTATTGTAGCTGGTGGAGGCATCTGTGTTCTTCCCAGACTGTGCTTCTACTTTTTCTCCTTTATTACTGTGCTGGGGGTAGAATCCAGGCCTGATACATGTTAGACAGTTGCTCTACCACCAAGTCACAGTCCAGCTTCATAGCCAATGCTGATGTCTAAATATACCATCTCTTTAAAGTACAAGCGTATGGTACCACTTTAAAAAGCTTTATTATGGAAAAGATCAACTGTGTACAAAATAGGTGAAAGTTGTGGGTGCCTACCCTGTCACAGTAGGCTCCTCCTACTGCCCTCCCTTATTGTTAATGAGCATATATTTTGGTATGTACCTCTAAAAGATAAGGACACTTAGAAAATACGTAACTATCTTACCGCTGTACTCAAAAATTAAGAACTCCTCCTCAGTGTTACTCAGTATTCAGTGTTCAGTTTGCTAGTTGTCATATGATCTCTCTTTTCAGCTTACTTATTAGTCATATCTATCTTGAATTTTCATTTTTAAGCATTACTGATTGACTTCTGCCATGGTGCATAAGGCCTAGCTTTCTTTACTCCTCTGCCTACCCTGGCTCTCAAGTCTCTCTGACCTTCCCAGGGGTGATTCAGTAATTCTGGTGAGATCATTCACAACGCAGTGGCCCAATGTCTGTTTCTGTGTCATGCCTGCACGATCAAAGGCAGTACTGTCTTCCCACCCATTTGTGGATGGGAGCATGTGGGGCTTTATTTTCCGCATGTTTCTTGATAGCTATCTCAATTACATTCTTGTTCTAACCCTGCCGCTTTTCTGCAGCTCCAGGTACTGTTTGCAGGGGAAGCCACTCATCGGACATTTTACTCCACAACGCACGGGGCCCTGCTGTCTGGCTGGAGGGAGGCTGACCGCCTCATGGGTCTGTGGGACCTGAAGATGCAGCAGTCCTGGCCCAGGCTCTGAGCTGGGCTCCCACTGGCTCTGCTCCTCCTGTATGAAAGGCTGGGATACTCCTCTTCTCTGACAGATAATTTTCAGTCTGACTTGAGATTTTGGGATTTCACTGATAAGTCTGTTTTGGGTAACTGGGTCATCTCATTTCTCACATCTATCGCTGGAGTCTGGCTAGGACTGAGGTTGGGCTGAGTGTGACAGGAATGGGATACTGCTGTTAATGGTGATGCTTTGCATATAAAGCAGTTAACAACACCTTCTAGTCAAAGTTATCCTTGTGCCACAGGGCAGCAACATCTATTGCCTTTGTCTTCATCTTGCCCACACCAGGCTGGGGCCCTATGTTTCTGTTTCTTGTGCCCACAGCACATAGCTCATCCATCTGGGTTCCCTGGGCTGAGTCCTGTAGCTGTCTCTTATTATTGGCGTCATGAGGTGCCACCCCTGGTTCTCACTGCTCAGCTCCATGACCACAGTGTGGACTATAAACCTCCCGTTGCTCATTGACAGACACTGTGTTAGGTGCTGACTGGAAGAATTGAGATGAGTGATGTCTGGGGCACCTTGTCCTGACCCGGGGCCCTAGATGTTCTGGAGAAAGATCCCGGGGAAGCGGGCTGAGCAGGCCCAGCAGGGTGGGCCTGGGGAACTGGATGGTACTGAGGTGGGCATGGGGAGCCTACTGGGGAACTGGACAGTGTTACATGGGTCCGCTCGGTATTCTCTGTGCATCTTAACAGTAGACCTAGGGAATAGACTATGTTCTTTTTTTGTTGTTGTTGTTACCGATACAGAAGAAATATAACTCCTGCCTGTTAGATGTCAAGTGAGGAATGAACTTCATCCCTGCAACATTGAGGAATGAATTTCAGATCCAAAGGAGGAAGTTAGAGTTTTATTGGAAATCAGGAGAAAAGAGTAGCTTCTGGATTTCCAAGGGTTGTCCTGAATGGGGTGGTCACTGAGGCCCTTTGTCAGGGGTAATTTATACAGCAGAGTCACAATGTGGGTACAACATGGGTCCAACTACAATCATCTGATGGATTACAAGTATAGTCATCTAGGTAATATTGATCCAGTAGGTAAGCAAGGCGTGTAGCAAGGGTATATGCCAGTCATTAACTTTAGCCTACCTATACTTCTAACATAAACAGAACAAAGGGATTTGTTTATTTTGAAAGGCAAAGAAAGGGATGGGAGGATGGGTCTGGATGTTCTGGTCACTCACCTAGATGTCTGGTGCTTATCTGGACTTACTGGACTGCGTATTATGAATTACAGTATAATCTCAAATTGCTTTTTATCTCAGGGAGGCATGCAGAACTGGCCATTGTGTCTTCATCTTGGGGCCTGGCCTTCTTCAGATGCCAACCCCCATTCCCAGCCACAATTTTGATGTATACTTATCTTCTGCCCTACTCTGTCAAGGGGCTGTCTCTGTCTGACTGCCTATTAATTTCTAACTTAGCTTCCTATAATATTTTCATAGCAAAAGAGACAGAACATTTAGCCTTAGATGACTGACCAGTGCCACACTGCCTTGAGAGTTTGAATGTTTCTCTTTGAGTGCTGAGAATGGAGGGGAAGTGGGTGCAGCTGGAGGGTGGCACTCCAAAGAGAGGTGAGGGACCCCAGAGAGGCCTGCACCCTACCCTACACTCTGTGGGGCTGCTGGAGGGCTTGTGTAGGGAGCCTCTGCAGGACAGTCTTGTTTCTTGCCCCAGCTGGGCCCAGGCTCTGGGCTCTGGTTCCTCATGCTGGAAGGAAAGGCCTCCAGTGGCTACTTTCAGCCAGACACATGTATCTTCAAAACTGCTAGGCTCACAGTTGGCCCAACAATCCAGCCCAACTCTGCCGGTCTCCTTTCTTCTCATTCTTCAGGGCCAGGTTCAAATTGCCCTTTCAACCAGGTGTGGTGGCACACACCTGTAATCCCAGCACTTGGGAGCCTGAGGCGGGAGGATCTTTGTGAGTTGGAGGCCAGCCTGGGCTACAAAGTGAGCTCAAGGCCAGCCTGAACTGCATAGCAAGACCCTATCTCAAAAAGACCAAAAAAAAAAAAAAAAAAATTGCCCTTCCAGGGCCTGCTGTGTACTCATCCAACCCACCTTCCAGCCTCTCCCCATAAAAGTTGATGGCATCTACCGGAGATCTGTAGCATGCTTTCGGCTTGTCACCAGCCTGGTCACCAGGAATGGAGTACCTCCTGATATGTGGGAGAATCCCACAGGGTTTAGTTGTAATTTATGATAGTCGAACTATTAAGAGTTCAGCTTCCATCTAGGGCAAAAGGTCTTTATTGTTGACATTTGGAGTTTTATCATGTTCCTTTGGGAGGCTGGGAGACATATGTTTCTAAAGAGACAGCCCCAGGCTGCTCCCTGTGTGGGAGGAGGAGGAGAAGGTCTGAATGGCGTAGGACAGTAAAGTGTTACACTACTAAGCTACATCCCCACCCAGGAATTTTAAGACCTAGGAATTAATGAATGTTGACAAATCTCCGAATTTTTTTTCAAACCGCCATAAAACCTCCGAACCCTGAGAAGGGTCTGACTCACAGGTCCGAGTTGGCTCTCGCCCCGCCCTGCCCGCACAGGTACCGCCTACCCAGTCTCCGCCCCACGCCGGGGACGACGTTATGCGCATGCGCAGCTGCGCACGCAATTGCGGAGCGCCGAACCCAGGGGACGAATCGCAAGTCTCAACGAGCCTGCGCCGCACAGTGCTTCCGGGACGCGGCGCCATGCGGCTGTTTCCGCGCGCCTTTTGCGCTTCTGTGGCCACCTGGCGCCAGTGCTTTCCCCTACATGGCCGCGACGTGGCGCGGTGGTTCCCGGGCCACATGGCCAAGGGTGAGGTCTGGCGGGAGGCGCGGTCCGGCCCCCGTCCCGTCCCCGTGGTCCTCCCTGCGCGGCCTCCCCCGCCGTGTCCACAGCCTCCGGTGCTGCGTGTCCTTACTACTGTCCCGAGGCAGGGAGCGATGGAGGCCGCCATCAAGTCGTAGGGTCGTCCCAACGCCTTTAGACTTCTCTAATCCGTCTTTCCGCCTGCCTCAGCATATTTGGGGTTTCCTGTTGATTATACGTCCTCATTTGGCCCTGAGGACAGCTAGCATGGTGCGGCCCTGGGCATCCAATCGCTACCACCCCAGGCCAGGTTCGGTGGGGGTCCAGGGGTTGGGCCAGCTGCAGCCTTAGAACTTTTGTATGTCCCTGGTGAGGGGAGGAGGTTGATACTTATGTTCCCACAATATCAAGGGCCTAATCTGTTCATAGCCAAGGGCAAGACCCAAGTGCCACAGAAATGGAGTGTTGCTCAGGGTCATCCACCAACGATCATGTCAGGACCTGACTTAGTATGCTGATGTCCCTTGGACAACGCTTAAGTGTGTTTCAGTCATATCATATGCATTTTAGGTTGCTTCTGGTGTTCAAATTCAATCTGCCCTTCTGAAAAGTTGTGGGCTGGCCCCTTAGTGCCCCTCTCCTGTTTTCCAGGGCTGAAGAAGATGCAGAGTAGGCTGAAGTTGGTGGACTGTATCATCGAGGTCCATGACTCCCGGATATCCTTTCATGGTGTAGAAGGAGCCTCCTTCCTAAAACAGACTGTATAGGAGCCAGCAGGAAACATTCCTGGTCTAGGTCCAGTCAGCTGCTTACAGTGGCTAGCTAGCAACCTAACGTGTTAAATCGGTGGTTTGCAGTCCTTATTACACCTTAGAATTACCAGGGAGACTTTTAAACACTTAAGCAAAATCTGGCATGGAGTCTAGGCCAGGTGTTTTTTTTTTTTTTTTTTTTTAACACAACCCATTGATACATCGTTTGCCTCAGCCTCTTTCTGGCTTCCCCATGCTGTCTAGTGTGGTCCAGGAATAGGAGTCTCACGATATGAAACCCAAGATTAAATGTTCCTGCCCTTCCACTGCCAGGAATCTGGAAATAGTACAGGATGAGGGATCATTTTAAAATGCTTGTTGGAATTTTAACATTGAAATGTTGCTGAGAGTTTATTTTCAATACACCTTAAAGATGTATTGATTTGACGTCTCATGTTGGTCAGAAGTTTTTGATGGCAATTATATGACTGATTGTTATTTTTTGAGACAAGGTCTTGCTATGTAGTTCAAGCTGGGCTGCACTCACTATGTAGTCTAGTCTGCCCTTGAACTCTTGGCGATCTTCCTGCCTCAGCCTCTTGAGTGCTGGGATTATAGGCATGTACTACCACACTCGTTTTATGACTTGATTATCAAAACAAGATCTTATTTAGCATGTGATAAGAAAAATTTTCTCCTTTGGTTTCAGGAACATTCTGTCCTGCCATGTCTAGGCAGGAAGAGGACCCTGTGCTGGTTAGAGGCCTCTTTAACATGCCAGGAGACAAATCTGAAGGCTTATAGATTTCTTATACATCCTCATTTGTTATCTCTGAGAGAAGTTACCTTTTGGTGGGAGATTATGACCTAATTGGGTGCCTAAACTGGGCATGTTTTGGGACCTCATAGAATGAGGAGGGCTGAGAGCTCAGGAGGTGAAGATAAGCCCCTTCCTGGTATGTCAGTGTCATGTGAAGTGGGAAACAACATTCAGTCCTGGGACCACTTGTTGAGGATGGAAGTAAGGAGGCAGCATCTTCTGTGAGGGGTTCCATGGGGAAAAATGACTTCCCTAACTGTAGATGCGGCTGCTGGGCCTCCAGTGATGGGCATCCAAGAGTCCTTAGTGGTCTTAGAGGTCTTGGTGAATAGTAGTTTAAGATGTTCTAGTTAGAACTTTATTGGAGTCACTTTCTTAAATGAGCATAGAGTTCATTTAAAACTTCTGTATCTTGGTAACTAGTGACTTAGTTATAAAACCCTTCTCTGAACTTTGATTTTGTTCTCAGTGCCATCATTCCTGTTTGGTAAGCCATGTAACAGCCACTGTGCTTGACTGCCTGGCCTGGCAGTGAGAGAAGGTGCAGCCTTTCCCTAACTGGAAGGGCAGGATCTGGGTCAACCTTGTAGCTTTTGGGATGGGAAGGTGGGGTGGGCTGGTTACTTTTACTTTGAGATGGGGCGTCCTCTTTTCCTCAGCTCCTGACCGAGGTAGACAAAGTCAAAATAAGTTTTGGAGGAATTTTGCCTTAATGTTGCCACATCCCACTTTCAGGTCGAAATCCTCTGTTTCAGGAGACTCTTGGACTGAAGCCTCACTTGCTTGTCCTCAACAAGATGGACTTGGCAGATCTCACAGAGCAGCAGGTAAGGGCTTTCTCTTACAGATGCCTATAGTAAGTAGTACAGCAGGAGTTGCTGACAGAGAGTTGCACTGTATTAACTCCCCTAGCCACCATATTAACTCCTCCTCTGCTTCAGAAATGACTCTTGGTTTGCAGGAGTAGTCTTTCCTGGTTTCACCATGGCATGCTTTCCATGAACATTAACTTGTGACACAAATGCTTAAAATGGTCACATCTCCTGTGAAAAGTGGCCATTGTGCCACTGGAGCCTGAGTGATGCTACAGCCATGCTGTGCATTGCCCTTTCCCAGATGATTGATACTTTGTTCACATGGTGGCCTCTGGTCACACGTGGCCTCTGCATCTGAGGAACTGGCTTTCACATTTACGTAACTTTAATTAGTTTGAGTTTGAACAGGTGCATAAAACTAGTGCTTCAGCCCCAGACAGCACTGGTCTGGCCTGGAGGTCCTCTGTGATGGTTGCAGATCCCCTGGTGTCCACACTTGCCAGCTTGACCCCATGTTTTCACCTGGTGGCTGCCTATTGATCCGGAGTGGAAGGGTTGGGTTTGAGAAAGACCCAACATAGCTAAAGGGTTTCACCAGAGTCAGGCAGAATCAGGAATCAGGCACAGATGACTTGCAGGAGAGTATTTTCCATGTGGCCCAAAGATAAAAGAAATGTAAAATCTGGAAATATTATTTGAGCTGTTATCTTTTTTTTTTCTTTTAAAGAGAATAAAAATAGGGTGCTGGGGATTTAGCTCAGCGGCAAAGCGCCTGCCTGGCAAGTGCAAGGTCGTGAGTTTGGTTCCCGGTACCGGAGAAAAACCAAAAAAAAAAAAAAAAAAAATAGAAATAAAAAAAAAATGGACAAACAATTCAAAACAAGATGATAGCAAATGAATAAAGGTTGTTATATTGCATATTGTTACCTTCAAAGTAGTTGTTCAAGGGGCCAGGGATATAGCTCAGTGGTGCAAGCGCCTGCCTGGCAAGCGTGAGGTCATGAGTTTGATTCCTGGTACCAAAAAATAAAAAGAGTGGCAAAGTAGTTGTTCAGATTACCAGATATAAGCATGTAAAATGAGTAAAAAAAAATTTAAAAAAATTAAGCCATAACTGTTCCTTTCAACAAACCAATAGAAATTAATAGTATGAGTCTTAGCTATCTTGTGTGTATATATTTTTTTATCCCTCCCTCTTTTTTCTTTCTTTCTTTCTTTCTTTCTTTTTCTTTCTTTCCTCTCTCTCTCTCTTTCTCTCTCTTTCCCTTCCTTCCTTCCTTCCTTCCTTCCTTCCTTCCTTCCTTCCTTCCTTCCTTCCTTTCTCCTTTCCCTCATCTCAGTTCTTTCCTTTTGAGCAGTTTCTTTTTCTTTCACAATATCTATTGTACTTTTTGGATTTTGTTTACTCTTTCAGTTTCTTACACTAGGGAGACAATATGATGTTTACACTTGCAGATCTGAAATAGTTCACTTATGAGTATGGTGTCAAGTTGCATCCATTTACCTATAAAAGCCTCGAGTTTATCTTTCTTTATAGCTGAGTAATACTCCATTGTATAAAAAACCATATCTTTTTTATCCCTTCCTCTGTTGATGGGCATTTGGGTTTTTTCCATGATTTAGATATGACAAATTGTGCTGCTATAAACATGGGTGCACATACACTGCTGTGGTATGATGTTTTCAGTTCTTCTGGAAAAATACCCCAGAAGGTGAGTAGCTGGGTCAAATGGGACCTCTAGTCCTGGAGATTCCTCAAAAAACTAGGATTATGGCCAGGGATTTAGCTCAGTGGCACAGCACCTGCCTGGCAAGCGTGAACTCATGAGTTCGATTCCTGGTAGCCCCCCACCCCCCCGCAAAAAACCAACCCAGGATTAGAGGTCGATTCCACCCAGCTATTCCCCTTCTGGGTATTTTCCCACAAGGATTGTGTTTGTTTTTCTTGCCCTGCTGTTAGAAGTCCTTTGCAAAGAGATATTAAAGTCTTTGAATTCAAGTCATATTTTCAAAGTTGTTAATGCTGAGGAAATTTCTGTTTAGCAGGAATAATACCTTCAGGTTTTCATAACTGACTAAGGCATGTTCTAGTTACGTAAATCCTAATCACTAGACTCCACCACAGGTTTTCAGGAAACTTTTTTAAATACCAGAGTTGTTTGTCAGGAGGATGGTGAAGGCATTTCCCTTTTAAAACCCTCTGGCTATTGAGGGTGATGCAGGCCTCTCAAACAAGATGTTTTTGGTTTTCACTGCATTTACAGTTGTAGTTAATTATCATCACAAACACTTTCAGTTGCTTTTACTAGTTGAGACCTAAGTCTGATCAGTGATTGATTTTTTTCTGTTCTTTCAATACTAGCTTTGGGGGCTGGGGATATAGCTCAGTGGCATAAGCACCAGCCTGGCAAGCACAAGGTCGTGAGTTCCATCCCTGGTACCGCAAAAAACAAAAACAAACAAAAAAGATCAACCTCAATACTAGCTTTGTCAACCTGGTGGGTCTCCACGGGAGAAGTTAGGTGAATTAAACACTCATCAACCATGCATTGCCAGTTATTAGGCAGATGTTCCTTCAGTGATTACTACACCCATGCATATGTGTCACTCAGCAGGAATCTGACTCAAACTTTAATAGCAGAGGAGACAGATACAAAATAAAGTCAGAGATGCCAAGCTTTTATCCTGGTTTTAGTTACCATTGAACATCTGCAGACCCAGGTGAAGTCTCAGTGCCTTTTAACAAAAGAAGCCTCTACATCCCTGTTATGTGCCTGCCCTGAAGTTCTTCCTTCTTGTTCTCTCTGGGGCCATTGAGGTGCTAGGCTGCCCTCAAAGGCTTGAGTCCCCATTGTCTGGGCTCTGCTGGTTTTGAGCAGATGAATGCTTCTGGCAGAGTGTTTCTTTGAGCTCATATTTTCAATGTTTATTATTTCATACCATTTGTATTTTCATTTAGTATTTTAAAGGGGGATGTGTTTTTCAGAAAATTATGCAGCACTTAGAAGGAGAAGGCCTAAAAAATATCATTTTTACCAACTGTGTAAAGGATGAAAACATCAAGCAGGTAGGTCTTTTTCTGTTTACATATGATGTTTCTGCTTAAATTGTTTTACAGTAAGCAAAGTTTTGGAGAAGGTCATAGGATTGGCTTCTGTTGCTCAGGGATACAGGGTCATCTGAATTAAGCTGTTTCCTGTGCTTGATGTTCACAGCCTGAGATGATTTTTGAAGGAGCACAAAATCATTCTGGAGTGATAAGTTGTAAGAACCTTTTAGACAGTCCATTAACTTATTTTTCTCATTGTATTTTTTTTTTTTTTTTTTCGTTTTAAGACAAGGTCTTACTATGCAGTTCAGGCTGGCCTTGAACTCACTACATAGTCCAGGCTGGCCTTGAACTCAGGCATTCCTGCCTTTACCTCCTGAATGCTGGGATTATAAGTGTGCGCCCAGCTATTTCCAGGTGTATTTGGTAGGACTTTATGGGTTGATACATGTTTTTGTAGTAGTTACAAATCAGAGCTATCTCGAAAGCACCCCAGAGGCGCCATCTTGCTTGCTCATGGTGGAATGAGGATGGGCAAGCTTGGGCCAGCTGCAGTTCACTTGGACAGGATATTGAAGTACACTGCCTTCAGAAATTATGGAAGAGCCATGCTTCTGTATTAGCTGATGAGTGGAGTCTGTGAGGTCTTTGTTCTCTTTAACTGATGAGTGGAAAGGGAGACAGTCCTTGAACCTGATATTTGGAGGTGGCATGAAGTGGGTTGGTGAGAGGTCATTAGACTAGAATGTGTGGCTGGTTTGTTGCAGATCATCCCGAAGATCACTGAACTAATTGGGAGCAGCTATCGCTACCACCGAGCGGAGGTTGGTTGGTAGGGCCCAGAGCGGGGTGGTGGGTGTTTGAAGTCACCTATCTGTCCAGTTGACTCTTCCAAGATTTCCAGAGTGCAGGGGACAGGTGCTGTGGCCCAGGAGGAAAGCTCAGCCTTTGTCCTCAGTTTTTTCTGTGAGAAGGACTGGGCTAGTCCCATCAATTGGCAGAACCTCTGCCCTGATGTCCCCTTTCCCTGGCTGTGGCTTTGAGACTCTTTTCTTGTCTTGGCAGAACATGGAGTACTGTATCATGGTGATTGGCGTCCCCAATGTGGGCAAGTCCTCCCTCATCAACTCTCTAAGGAGACAGCACCTTAAGACAGGTATTCTTGCAGCTGGACTGCTGAGCTCCACTCTTCCCAGAACTGAGGAGCATGGTCAGCCCTCTTGCTCTCACATAGTCCTTTTATATCTCATGTTCTTTTCTGTCAGAAGGACAGTTAATGGTATGACTGAGGTCTATGTGTGCTAGACAGTCATTCCTTTTATATTTTGTTTCCTTCCTTCTTCTCTTTCTCATCTTCTTTCTCCTTTTTTCGTTTTCTTTTTTTTTTTGTGGTACTAGGAATTGAATCCAAGGCCTTGCACATGCTAGATTTGTGCTTTTCCACTGAGTCCACATTCTCAGCTCTTTTTAAAACTTATTTTGAGACAAAGTCTTCAGGCTGGCCTTGAACTCATGATGTAGCCCAGGCTGGCCTTGAACTTGAGGTGATTCTCCTGCCTCAGCCTCCCGAAAGCTAGGATTACAGGTGTGTACCACCATGCCTTTAAATCATGTTGAACCATTATTTTTGGTGTTATAGTTATCTTGCTTTTTTCTTTATTTTTTTTAATGGTGTTGGAGATTGAGCCCAGGGACTTTGCACTGAGCATTCAGCCCTTTAATATTTTTTTCCTTTATGATTTGCTAAGTTGCCGAGGCTGAGCTTGAATTTAGGATCCTTCTGCGTTAGACTCCCAGAATGCTGGGATTATAGGTGTGTGTCACCATGCTCAGCTTAGTCATCTATTTTTTTTTTTTTTTTTTTGTGGTACCAGGGATTGAACTCCCAACCTTGCGCTTGCCAGGCAGGTGCTTATGCCACTGAGCTAAATCCCCAGCCCAATTTTTTAAGTGTTATTTTCCTTTACCAGAATCATTTTTTTTTTTTTTAATACAATGCTGGGGATCCAACCAAGAACTTGGTGCATGCTAGGCAAGTGCTCTGCCATTGAACTACACCCCAACATTTTTTAAGTTTAGTGGCCTTAAGTGCATTCATGATGTACAACCATCCCCACCGTTTGTTCCTAGACTTTTTCATTACCTCAGAGTATAACTCTGTTGAGTGTAGACAGCAATCCTGTTTCTTCCTCCAGTCCCTGGCAACCCCCATTCTACTTTGTTTGAATTTGGCCACTCTGACACTGTCAGTTAGTGGAATTGTATCATACTTGTCATTTTGTGTTTGGCTTTGACACTGGGCAGTGTCCTCAGGTTCATCCATGTTGGAGCTGTGCCGGGATTACCTGCCCCCCCCCCCGCCCCGCCTTTTTTTTGTACTGGGAATCAGACTCATGACCTCGTGCGTGCCAGGCAGGTGCTGTACCACTGAGCTATATTCTCGGCAGGATTACCTCCTTTTTACGGCTGAGTCACACTCCTCTATGCATCTGTACTGTATGTTGTTCATCTGTGACAGACTCTTCTGTCTTTTTACTCTTGAGTTGGTTTGGGCAGTCTCCTTGGCTCATGCCTTGAGCTGGGTCCCTCACTGAGTAGCTGCAACATTCAGACCCAGACCCTGCTGGTCAGGCCTGTTGTGAGCAGTGCTGGGAGGCAGATGAGTCCAGGAGCGGGGGGACTCAGACTGGAGGCTTGAGTCTTGGAGGAGGCTTGAGTGAGGCTTGGCCGTTTGTTGAGCCTCCTGGCCTCTGTGCCTGAGTTTTTCAAAAGTGCCCTTGCTCTGAGCTGTTTGTGGCTGAGCATAGGATGATGACGACAGTCTTTGGAGTTTCTATTCCATTTGCCAGATGTGTTAGTCAGACATGTATGTTTCATTCTGTGTTCCATAGCTATGTGTTAATGAACATTTGATGGTCTCTTTCTGTCCTGCAGGAAAAGCTGCCAGAGTGGGTGGTGAACCTGGGATCACCAGAGCTGTGACATCCAGAATTCAGGTAGGGTCCTCAGTGGCCATGTCTGGCGCACTACCTAGAGGTGTGCAAGCTCCATGCCTGGCATTGCTGAACTCCCCTTATTGGCCCCTGCTTCCAGCCATCCTTGCTGTCTCTCCACTGGTGATCCCATGCCAGCACTGTCCTTACACAAACCTGTGGGGAAGGCAGCCATGTTCCCTTCATAAGCCAGGGTAAGGGTCAGACAGAGTTGAATGGAGTCCACTTTCCACATTTTCCCTTTAGTTCTCTGGAGGAACTGGTGCTTTTCTTTAGCTTCCAAATTAAGTGCAAACTAAATCCTGTAGCAGTACTAGTGCTTGGTGAAAATGATAACCTTTTGGGAGGTTTGTTTGCAGTGGCTGCCTTAGAGCCTCTGGGGAGGGCCCTCATTCAGCTAGAAGCCTGGTGTGAGGAGGTGCACTGGGCCCAGCTGGGTGGGAGCTGCTGTCAGTATCTGCTAGTGTCCTCTGCTTGCACAGGTATCTGAGCGGCCACTGATGTTCCTGTTGGACACCCCTGGGGTGCTGGCTCCTCAGATTGGAAGTGTGGAGACAGGCTTGAAGCTGGCCCTGTGTGGTGAGCTGTGGCTGGGGTGGGTGCCCCTCATGCTACCTTTAGGGCTCCACTACTGAGCTAGGTGTGGTCCTTAGGCAGATCAGAATTGTTACTACCTTTCCTCTGATACTTCTCAAAGCTTCATGAGGTGCTAGAATGGCTCTCAGTGTGTACATGCTGGTCTAGCCCTGCCCTGTAAAAATGGCATTTGCTTCCATACCTACAGACTTGGGCAGAAAGATCAGGCTGCACGGTCAAGGCACGTGCCAGATAGGAGGAAAACCAGGCTAGTGCTACCCTTTAGGGAGTCTCCTTAGCAGTGAGGTTGTTTTTGGGCCCAGACTGCGAGGGTGCAAGCTTGGCAGGGGTGCAGATGGTCACTGTCTCATGTGCTCAGCTCTGCTGCCTATCTTCTAGGAACAGTGCTGGATCACTTGATTGGGGAGGAGACCATGGCCGACTACCTTCTCTACATTCTCAACCGGCACCAGATGTTTAGGTGAGTGGCTGTGAGTGTGGGTGGGCACCTACTGCTCATTTGTCCTAGTCAAGTATGGCTTGATAAATAGAGCATTAAGGTATTATAAACATATGATAATCTGTATGCTACAAAAAGCATATCATTTACTGTGTTTGACAGTGAATGCATCTGAGACTCCCAATCAAGATGGAAATGTGCATTTCCATCACCTCGTCTCCTGTGCTTATATTTGCCTTTTCCTGTTCCTCCTTGTGCTCAGGCAGCTATCTGAGATGTCACTAGATGTTTTCATTTTCTAGAATTTTGTATCAGAGGAATTGTACAGTATGTATCCTCTCATCTAGCTTTTCTCCGAGTGTGATTGTGAGTGAGATTCATCCATGTTGCCGTGTGTATTGGTGGCTTATTCCTTGTCATAGCTGTGTAGTAGTTCATTGTTTAGAAATACTACAGTTTATTAATCCTTTTACCTGTGGGTGGACAGTGAGTTGTTTGCAGACTTTGGGTAGTACTAAAAATAAAGCTTCTGGGAATAATTCATGTACAAGTCTTTATGTGACATGAACTTATATTTCTTTTTAAGAGAGTAATAGCTGGGACATGGAGTAGGTATATGTTTTAACTTTTTAAGAAACTGCTGAACGGTTTTCCAAAGTAGTTGTACTGTTTCATATATCAACTATCAGGGAATGAGCATTCTGGTTTCTCAGCTGGGTGTGGTGGTGCATGTCTGTAAACCCAGCACTCGGGAAGTTAAAGCAGGATATTGTGAGTTCAAGGTCTGCATGGGCTACATAGTGAGTTCAGTGCCAGTCTGAACTACATAGCAAGACCCTGTCTCAAAAAAAAAAAAGTTCTGGTTTCTCTTATGTCCTCATCAACACTTAGTGTGACAGGTCTAAATTTAGCCTAACAGGTGTTGGGAGTGTTGTATGACAAATGATGTTGAGCCTCTGTTCATGCGTACCTATTTTCTCTGGGAAAATATCTTTTCAAATCTTTGTTTCTATTTTTCAAGACCTAGTTGTTTCTTTTATCTAATTTTATTTTCTTTTTTAATTTTGCTTTTAGTGGTAGGGATTGTACCTGTGGAGCTCACTGTGCTAAGCATACTCCCTACCACTGAGCTACATCTCTAGCCCCTTTTTTCTGAATTATAAGTTCTAAGAATTCTTTATATATTCTGGATGCAAGTCCTGAAGAAATAAAAGTTTGGAAATGTTTTCTCTGAATCTGTGTCTTGTCTTTTTTTTCTCTTAATATTGTCTGTCAGTCAAAGAACAGATATTCTTAGTTTTTGTAAACTTCAGCTTAGTAACAAGAGTAGTGCTGTTGTCATATCTAAAAATTTGCTTAAACCAAGGTCATGAAGTTTTCTCTTTTGTTTTCTTCATGAGAACTGGTACTGTACTTCAGATTTGCACTTAGGTATGCAATCCTGTTTTGATATGCATATATATGCTTTTTGTATGTAGTACAAACTGTGAAGTTGTATTTTTGTACACAGATAACCAGTTGTTCAAGAAACATTTTTAAAAAATATTTCATTTTTTTAAATTAACTTAGTTTATTGGTACATTTTAGTTATTCTTAATGATCACATTCATCATAGGGAATTTGTATCTGTATATGCTATATCTTGTTTCTTTTTTCCCCATCCCCCTACCCTCCATTCAACCCCTTCCTCTCCCTATTTACAAAAGCTTTGTTTCTATTTTTTCCTTCTTTTCTCATGTTTTTTCTTTTCCCTTCCTTTCCCCTTTCCCCCTCTCTAGTTCCCCTGCCTATTTGAACATTTTCTTCCTATTTCACAATACCTATTATACAGTTTTGTCCTTATTTACACTTTTAGTTTCTCACACCAGAGAGTGTAGTATTTACATATGTGTGTCCAGTTTATTTCACTTAAGAATAGGATCTTTCTTGCTATGCAGTTCAGGCTGGCCTTGAGTTTACTTTGTAGCCCAGGCTGATCTCAAACTAGCAATGTTCCTCCTGCCTCAGCCTCCCGAGTGCTGGGATTGTAGGCGTGTGCTACCACACTCGGCAAGAATATGCTCTCAAAGTTTATCCATTTACCTAAAAAATGACTCAAGTTTAGCCTTCTTTATAACAGAGTAGTACTCCATTGTATTAAAAAAAACCACACGTTCTTTATCCATTCATTGATTGATGGGTATTTAAGTTGTTTCCAAGATTTAGTTATTACAGACTGTGCTGCTATAAAGTTTGTGCATGTATCAGTGTGATATCATGCTTTTAATTCTTTCAGGAAGATACCAAGAAGGGGAATAGCTGGGTCAAATGGAACCTCTAGTTTTAGTTTTTTTGGGGATCTCCACACTGATTTCCACAGTGGTTCCACTAGTCTATATTCTCACCAATAGTGGAGAAGGGGTCCTTTTTCCCCACAGTCCTGCTAGCACTTGTTACTGGTTGATATCTTGACAATAGCCATTCTTTCTAGAATGAGATAATGTGTCAGCGTTGTTTTAATTTGCATCTCTTGAATGACCAGTGTTATTGAACAGTTTTTCACATATTAATTTGCTGTTTGTACTTCTTTACTGAGAAGTGTGTATTCATTTCAGATGCCCATTGTTTGGAATGGGTCTTTAAATTTGGTGCGGGGGGGGGGGGGTTTGTGTTTTTTTTTTGAGTTTTTTTTTTTTTTTTTAAATATATTCTAGATAGTGATCCTGTGTCTATGGAACAGCTGGCAAATTTTTTTACCACACTGTAGGTTGTCTCTTCACTCTGTTGGTGGTTTTTCTTCCTGTACAAAAGCTTTTTAATGAGATGAGATCCCAGTTGTGATTATGTGTGATAGTTCCTGTGTAATTGGAGTTTTGTTCATAAAGTCTTTGCCTACACCAATGTCTTCAAGAGTTCTTCCTATTCTAGATTTAGCATTTCTGTTTTAATATTTATATCTTTGATCCATTTTGATTTTAGTTTAGTGCATGGTGAAAGATACAGGTCTAGTTTAATCTTTGACATGTGGAAAGCCAGTTTTTCCAGCATCCTTTATTAAAAAAACTGTCTTTCTTGCAGTGAAGGTATTTGGCTCATTCGTCAAAAATAAGATAGTTGAGTATGTCTGGAGTTGTTTCTGCATCATCTAATCTATTCCATTGATCATTCAGTCTGTTTTTTGCTAGTACCATGTTGTTTTTATCATAATAGCTTTGTAGTATAGTTTCAAATTAGGGATTGTGATGCCCCTGCTTTGCCTTTCTTACCCAGAATTGCCTTGCTATTCTAGGTCTTCAAGAAACATTGTTTGAATAGTCTTTTCTTTTTCTTTTGAGGTAGAGTCTTGTTGTATAGTCCCATCTGGTCTTGAACTTACTATGTATGCCAGGCTGAGTTCGAACTCATGGCAATCCTCCTGCCTGAGCCTCATGAGTGCTGGGATTCCAGGTGGGTGCCACCATGCCGGGCTAAGTACTCTTTTCTCCATTAGTTGTCTTTGCACCTTTGTGGGAAATCAGTATTATTGCATATGTGGCTCTGTTTTTTTTCTTTTTTTTTTTTCCCCTTGTTGCTCTTTGGCTGTAGTAGGCCTTTACATGAATTTTTTCAGTTTCTGTTAAACTTCCTGCTTTTAGGGCTGGAGGTGTAGCTCAGTGATAGAGCTTTTGCTTAGCATGTGTAAGGCCCTGGGCTTGATCCTTAGTATCCCTTCCCCAAATTGCTTCTTTTCTTGAGGGATTGCAGATTCCATTGAATTCATAGTGACTTTGAGGGAGAATTTAATATAACATTATTTACGACAGTATCCCACAGTATCTCTCCCAAATTAGTTTCTAATTTTCAGTGTTCAGGTCTTTTGCTTCTTTTGTAAAGTTTAACTTACATTTTTAATGCTATTGTAAGTGGTGTTTTTAACTTCACTTTTTTTTTTTTTTTTTTTTTTTTTTTTTTGGTTTTGGTTTTTCTCCGGTACCAGGAACCGAACTCAACTTCACTTTTGTTTGTTGCCAGTTTATAGAAATACAGTTGATTTTTAAATATTAATCTTGTATCCTGCAACCTTGCTAAACTTACTTGTTCTTGTAGTTCTTTGTAGGTTTAATTAGATTTTTGACCTAGACAATCATGTCTTTTGCAAAGGGTAACCTTATCTTTTCCTTGTCAAGTTGGATACCTTTTCTTTCTTTTTCTTGCTTTATTGCTCTGACTAGAACCTCCAGCTCACTGTTGGATGAAGTGACAAGACAGGCATCTCATCTTGTCCCCCTCTTTGGCAGAAGCATCTGGTCTCTTACCCTTGGATGTGATATCAGCTATGGCATTTCACAGATTTGGCATTTTACAGGTGGAGGAGGTCAGCCTGGCTAGAGGTTTAATTTTATTTAGCTTCCCCAAAGAATCAGCTTTTCACTTTAGTAATATCTCTATTGTCTGTTTTTTATACTATATTAATTTGTGTGTTCAATCTTTATTTCTTCATTTGTACTTTGCTGATATTTTTTCTATCAGTATTGCTAAGATTTGAGAAGGGCATTGAAATCTCCGACTATCACTTAATCTGTCCACTTCTTAAAATTTTCACAGCTCCGGTTTCATATACTTCGTTGTTAGGTGCAGAAGCATTTAGGATATGCTGTGTGCTCTTGATTGTTCATTGTTTTTGCTGTTGTGAAAACTTTCCTTATCCTTATATTCTCCGCTCTGGGAGTAACCTTTTTGATATAATACAGCCACTCCAGCTTCTTTTGATTATTATTAACATGGTATATTCTTTTTTATAATTTTACCTTTAACATATTTATGTCTTTACATTTAAATTGTATTTCTTCTTACAGGCTGCATATAATTGAGTCTTGTTTTTTAATCTGACAGCCTTGTCTTTTATGTTAGACATTTAGATGGTGTAAATGATCATTGATGATTTAATTGTGTCATCATACTGTTTGTTTTCTAGTTGTCCCATCTGTTCTTTGTCTTCTCTTTTTTTTCCTTTTTGGTATTGAATATTTCTTTTGATTCTACTTCATCTCTGTTAGCTTGTTACCTGTGACCTTGTGCTTTTAGGGTTTACAGTATATCTGAAGTGGTAATTTGTAGCAGTCAATTCCTATTTCCCTCCTCCTGACCTTTATGATGCTGTCATCACACATTTTACTTTTGTATACTTTATCAATTTGAGATACTGGTACTATCTCTTGCTTATGCAGTTATCTTTTAAGGAAATTTAAACTATAAGAAAACCTTACATTTTTACTGGACCTGTTAACATTTTTTTTGTTTGTTTTTTTAGAGTCTTTTTTGAGACAGCGTCTCCCTATACAGTTCAGGCTGGCCTTGAGCTCACTTTGTAGCCCAGGCTGGTCTTGAACTCCCAAGGATCCTCCTGCCTCAGCCTCCCGAGTGCTGAGATTACAGTCATGCGCCACTATGCCCCGCTTTTTTTTTTTTTAAATCACATTTGGCTAATTTTGAGCCATATTTCTTCAGTGTTTCTTTTGCCCGCCCCCCCATTCCCTAAGGCTGGAGTTATCAGCTGCTAGGCCCCTTGGCCTTCTGCACCACTGAGATTCCTCTTTCCTAGTGTGAGTCTGTCTGTGGTCTTTGTAGTGTTTAATCATCTCATCTCATTGCTCCTTAGAGCTCTTGCCTCTAAAAGCTTGGTTCAGACCTTTTTGCATATTGTCCATGTCTCAGCTCTGTAACCCTTAAGTTGTGGTTGTTAATCACTGACTTGATGTTGGGTCTGTTAATTCTAACATCTGGTCATTTTTGGATCAGATCCAGCTCTGCGTTTTTGTTCTGGTCTCCTGCTTTTCAAGCCTGTTCATTTTTGATGGGATGCAGACTTTTTGAATTTTACCTTGTTGAGTGATGAGTCTCTAACTTTCTTGTAAGAATTCCTTTTCTTTTTTTTTTTCTGGTTTTTTGAGATAGGGTCTCACTAGGTAGCCTAGATGGCCTCCAAGTCAAGGCCATCTTTGTGCCTCAGCTTCCTGAGTGCTGAGGTTATAGGTGTGCACCAGTACATCTGGCTTCCTGTAAGAATTTTTGAGATTTGGTGCAGGGACACCAGGTTATTTGGAAACAGTCTGGCTCTTTCAGGAGTCCGAGTGGCAGGCCACTGTGGGATGTGTATTGGTGGGAGTTTTTCTCAGCATGATGCCTGTCAGAACTTTGACTGGGCCCATGGCTGTGTGCAGGTATGTGCAGCACTATGGCCTGAGTGGTGCTAGTGATGACATAGAGTGTGTGCTGAAGAGCATAGCTGTGAGGCTGGGGAAGACGCGGAAGGTGAAGGTGCTCACTGGCACAGGTGAGTGATATTGTTGGGCCACACGAGGCTCTTGCCCTATCACCTGGTAGGCTCATTGGCCACCCCTAGAGGAGGGAGGGAGAAGGGAGACTTGGAGGGAAGCATGCTGGTGGCTGTCTAGAGTTTGGGGATGGGAAGGGGAGCTGTGGAAGATTCTAGGAGGGAGGATCTTGCCATCCGGAGTTTAGAGGGTGAGATGGCTCTGTTCCCCATACCTGGGTGTTAAATAGATGTGATTTTTTTTTTCTGAGGTATTAGGTATTGAAGCCAGGGCTTTGTGCATGCCAGGCAAGTGCTACACCACTGAACTACACTCTCAGTCCTTTAACATTTTTTAAAATTTTAGGTAAGGTCTTAGTAAGTTGCCCAGGCTAGCCAGGTAGCCCAGTACTGTCATCCTTCTGAGTAACAGGATGACAGGGATGTGCCTGGATTGTCTGTTTTCTTTCTGAATATGTCCATACTTCAGGCTTTACAGAGGCACACTTTAGGGACTTTTAGGGCTGGGCCATGTTCTTGGAGGTGCTTTTCTCATCAGACTCTTCTGTTCTTAGGTGATGTGAATGTTATCCAGCCCAACTACTCTGCGGCAGCCCGTGACTTCCTCCAGACCTTTCGCAGTGGGCTGCTGGGCCCTGTGATGCTGGACCGTGACATCCTGCAAGGCTGCCTCCCTGCAGACACAGATCCCTGAACTTGCTGGGTGTATGTGTGTGGCCCACAGACATTATGCAGCCAGAACATTTGAAGCTTGAGACTGCCTACCCTTTTCCAGAAGTTCTGTGCTGGGTCATCATGACTCAGATGAGGGCATGCTGTGTTCTCCTGCCCACCACAGCAGCCTCATTGTGGGGACAGGGCTGTGGGGTCCCAAGCAGTCTTGGTTCTGGTTCTGTGAGAAGGCCTGCTCAGTGTCTTTCAGGGAAAGCCTCGTGCTGTCTCAGAGGAGTTAAAGCTATAATCTTAGTTTTGAAAAATTAAGATTAAAGAACTGGGCGTGGTGGCACACACCTGTAATCCCAGCACTCGAGAGGCTGAGGCAGGAGGATCCTTGTGAGCTTGAGACCAGTCTGGGCTACAGAGTGAGCTCAAGGCCAGCCTGAACTGCAAAGCGAGACACTGTCTCAAAAATATATGTGTGTGTGTGTGTGTGTGTGTGTGTGTGTGTGTGTGTGGGCGGGCACATACCTGTAATCCCAGTACTTGGGAGGCTGAGACAGGAGGATTGCCGGGAGTTTGAGGTGTGCCTGAGCTTCATAGTGAGTTCAAGGCCAGCCTGAACTACATAGCAAGATACTCTCTCAAATACAATAACAACAAAAAATTTAAAAAGTCCCATTTGTTGTTGTATTCCATTTGTATACTCATAGTACCTCAGGCCCATGTATTAAAAACCCCTCTCACGATTGGATGCTGGGAATGGGCAGGTTAGGGATTGGGGCTTTCAACTGCCCTGCAGCCCTGCAATGAGGAAGAGTCCTGCTGCCAATACAGGGTTTATTTCACAATCACTTCACTATCAAATGTGCATACAAACATGGACAAGAGGTTGGGAGTAGTGGAACCCAGGGACTGCCCATCCCCTCAGTGCTCCAGGGTCCTCGATTCTTGGCAGGCTGCTGGATCACAACTCGGTCATCTATAAGCCAGAAGGTTGCAGTGTGGGAAGTGCCTCCTGGCCAATAGGACAGTGGCACTCTGCTTCAGTGGAGCCCTGAGGAGGTGCCAAGGGCCTGTCCTAGCATGGTCATCATCAACTCCTGCAAGTTCCAAAAGTGTTGCTGTTGCAGCTGCCTTCTAGAAGGAAGAGAGGGTTAGATTGGAGCAGACAAGAGGTGCTGCTGGGTTGGGTGAGGTTGGACCTGGTCAGTACCCCCAGCCTCATCTGTCCAGTGGTGGCCTGGCCTTCTCATAGCTGCCTGAGTGCTTACCAAGGCTACAGTGCTTGGCCGGCCTTCTTGCTGTGAGGAGCTGGCCTTCCACTGGTGCCTTCTGATAAAGCTTCCATGCATGATTGACCTGCCCTGAGATCACCCTCGCAGCACTCTGCTTCCTGCTGACCCTCATGACCAAGGGAGCTGTTAAAGATTTGTGGCTGTGCAAAATGCTACACGCACTCAGGACGTCAGGTTCGTGTGCAAGATACACATCACAGAGGGTGGTTTCCATCGTGTCTGGAACATGATGATGCTCACGGTGTTCTGTGATATGTGAGGGTCTGGTCCAGTGTAGTCCATCCTGGTGAGTATCTGAGAAACCAGTGGGCTCTGATAGGCCTGTGAGACTCAATGGAAAATGTTTCTCATCTACCTTTGAGGCTGACAGGCCAGCTAGACCATGGCATGGTGAACTTGGTCTGGACAGGACAAAAGAGCATCAGGCTGGTTGTGCCCTGAGAGCAACGGCAGTGCAGACGAGGCTGCAGGGAGCCATGTCTTATGATTTACTGCTCTCCCCAACCTAAAAGCTTGACCCAGGGTTTTTCCCAGTGGCCTTGAAGCCTGCACCATAACCAGGCTAACCCATGGCCATGTGGCAGCGGGTAAGTACAGGTCTCAGCGTTGTGCCCCTGTTGAATCCATATGAATCCTTGGTCCAGGGCCCGAGGATGGGTCCGAGGGCAGCACAGCTGCAGGTGAGTCTCAAAAGAGCATTGAGCGGCACCAAGACCTGGAAAAATTCTAGCCTGGGTAGTTGGTTGTATCATTAGAGCTAGAAAACTTGGCAGAACCAGCAGCCCTTGAGCTGGGTTCACAAATGGTGAGCCCTGGAGAAACAAGGGGCAAGTCTACGCATGAGGTGTGTGGGAGCTAAAGGTGAGTCATTTTTAGGACTTCCTAGTGTCTTGTGGCTATTCTGGGTGTCAGCTCAAGATATCCTTGAGTGGCCAGACTGCCCTATGTAGTCTTGGAGGGAGTCCAGGCTTGCTGTGACACCTGGCTGTACCTAGTGGGGGCTACCCCAACCCCCAACCCAGGACCACAGGTGGCCATGGGTCTGATGAACTGTTGCCTCAGTTTGTTGAGCAGAACATCAGCTTCCACTAGCACCACACCCTTACCAGCTGTTTCCAAGGTGACATCTGACCACTGGGAGATGCTGCTGCCTACCCAAAAGGTGGGAACCTTGTAGCTTGGCCTGTGCGCAGGGGGCCCTCCAGTGGCAATTGGCAGTTGCTCTCCTCAAATGTGCACCTAAATTTGAAAGGAATGGAATGCTTGTGAATGTGCCCCCTCCAGCCCTAAAAATTGAGGGTGTCTTGGGGAAACTGCCAGGAAGAGGAGGATGCCTTGGCTTCACAAGACATGTCCCGGAAGCCATGAGAACCATATTAGGCATTCCTGGGATGGCTGACTCTCCTGCTTGGAACATTCTTGGGCTGTAAAATTCTCAGGACCTGCGCTGGGCAGGTGGTTAGCACCTGACATTTCCCACACCGAAGCCTGAGAATATTCTGTCCTTTTCTCCACATCCTGAGATCCTTTGGTCCATTCCAGCTGCTTCTGTGGGAGGTCCTTGGCTATGAGTTGTCAGTGACAGAATCAGACCCATCTGAGGTTGGCCTCTGCCTGATGGTCAGCACACCACAGTATCTAGTGCAGGCAGTGGGCGTGCGAGGCCTGAATACGTGGTCTTGGTATCTCGCTGTGGGTGCTGCTGTTGAGTAGAGGGCAACCTGCACAGTGCAGAGGTGCAGGCCACCGGTCTCTGGGTGTGGGGACCTTGGCCCCCTGGTGGGGTGGGAGATGGAGAAGTTCAGAGGAGCTTGGGCAGGAGGGTGGACAGTGTGTCCACAGGTGGGAGAGGCTGCAGCTCCTGCCCCTCGGGAATTACCCAGGTAGCCTTAAGGCTCACGGGCAGGGGCAGCAGAGAGAAGGGGTGTTTAGGGCTAGCAGCCTTTGGGGTCGACCTGAGGGGCCTGCAGGGATGGTGCAGGCTAGGGGCTGGATCTGACCCCTAGCCAAGCCAGGCCTAGGGCCACTGCAGCTCCAGGGTGCCAAGGGCACTGCCTATCAGCAGACAGAGGGGTGTGTCCGGTAAGGGACCAGCTCCCGAAGTCCAGGTCCAGTAGCTGTAGACGCCCCTGCTGGTCCCGTTGCCGTCGGACAGCCTGTCCTCCTCGTCCTCCGGGCCTCGTCTGCCTGGCCCTGTGGCCCTTCTCCAGCCGGAGCCTGCCACCAGCCCTGTGGCCGCTCCTGCTGCTGCTCCCGCAGCTGCCCCTGCAGCTGCCACGCGCAGGGACGAGCCTGCAGCAGTGTAGCGAGGTGCTGGCCTCACCCGCACCCTTGAGGCCCCACGTGCACCACCGCGCAGCCCTCCACGGGCGCTGCCCCGGGCCCCTCCACGCCCGCCCTTGGCTATGCTGCTGTCACAGAGGAAGGCCACAGTCAGCAGCAAAGCCCAGCATGTCGCAGCCGTCCAGTTCATCTTCATGGGCAAAGCCTGTTGGAAGAGGGTGGAGGGGGTCTTCAGGTTCTGTAAGAAGGGCGTGCTTAGGATCTGGGGACAGGGGCTTTAGGGCTTCGTGGCAGGGGACCATCAGGGATGGGGGAGAGGGATATAAAGGCCCTGGGATCAAGGCACTGGAGGATCAAGTCCAGAGGGCAGATTGAGCCTCAGCTTTGGTGGGGACCTGGGAGTTAAACACTCTGGGTATCAGGGAGCCCCCTGCATTTTGGGGGACCGCCTGCTTGCCAAAGGTGAGGTGGAGAAGGAGGGTACTTGGCGATTTAGGCCTGGGGTGGGGGTGGGAGGTGGGTGGGGAAGGATGAACTCCTGGGGTTGGGGGTACGCAGGTCTGGGGGAAGGGCTTCGCATGTTGGGCTCTCTTCGCATCTTGCACACGGTCTCTGGACGGGCTGGCAATACTGGGGAATGGTGGTCGTCTTTTGGAGGATGCTTTGTTGGGACCGAAGGCCCCAAATACCCAGATCGGGTTTGGCATCCAGGCCCCTCCCGGGAGCCCTCTCCCTAGCCAGGGTAGCGCGCACTGGGAGAGGGGCGGGGGTCAGGGCGAGGGTTCAGGGCTGCAGCTGCGGCGTGGAGGATGCGCCTTGGAGATGCCGTGCAGACCCGCCTCGGCAGACTTGGACGATGCCAGGAAGATCCTTTTTCTCCTCGCTCTGCCCCTCCTCCAGCGCCCCACCGACCCCCAGCCATTAGGTCCAACCGCCCGGCAGGGACCCGACCCGAAAGGACCAGCGGGTCCGGTGGCAGCTCGGCCCGGCCCTCCTCCGCGACACCCTCTGCTCCCAGCCTCCCGCTGGGGATCCCACGGCAGGCCTTACCGTTGCAGGCCTCGGTTGGAACCCGGGCCCAGGTGCCGCTCCAGGGATGCGGCGCAAAGGGAGGATGGGCGGTGACCCTGACTTTGCCGGAGAAAGTCGGGCGTGGCTGGGCGGTGAGGAGGCCTCCGCAGGGGACTGGGGCGGGCAGCACCCGGGCTTCAGCCCTGGGGACGGAGGGAGGAGCGTGCAGCCCCTCTGGCCCGGCCCCTATCCTTGCTGCATCCCGCCCTCCCTACTCCGTCCAGCCTCCCCCACCAGCTCCATCTGGTCCCACCTCCCCACATATGCCCCACTCGTCCCCCTCACCCAGGCTCCTAGTGCATGCACTCCAGGCTGGGCGTCAGTCCTCATGGCCTTCTCTGTGCCCCCTCCTCATCTGCCCACACCCTTCCTCCCCTCCTCCTCCCCTCCTCCTCCCCTCCTCCTCCCCTCTCTTCTTCCATACCCTCATCCCTAGGCAGGTGGATGACCTAGCCACAGGACCACAGAATAATCCAGGTGGAGAGGCAAGCCACCTGTCTAGGGCCCCAAGGTCCTAAGTCTTACTCTCAGCAGGCCCTCTTCCCGAGGAGCTTCCCCATGGACACTGGGATGAACTGGGATTCTTAAAGTGGTCCTGCTATTCATACAGGGACCGCTGCTCAGACCTTGCCAGATGGTCCTCTGTGCAGCCATGCTGCACAAGATGAATCCTTACTGCCTCAGACTAAGCTGCTTCCCAGGTCCTAGAGGGCTGGAATATGGACCACTTTTGGAAATGCTCCAGGAAGCGCTTTCTCGCTTTCTCTCTTTCTGTCTCAGCTTTTTGTTGTTATCACCAGAACAACAGGGCCAGATATTATATTTATAAAATATAGAGATAAAGAGCAGGACAGTGTGAAAAGCGAGTAAATGAGACTAAAAGGAAACTTTTGAATCTAAAAAATGATTGCCCCATCATCCCCCAAAAAGGAAAAAGGATTTAGTGTAAAATTAAGGAAATGTCTGCCAAAAGAGGGAGGGGTATGCACGCAGAGGGTCAGTTTTGGACTCTAAACCTGATAGTTGTTCCAAGGATGAGAATAGAGAGGAACAGAAAAAGAAGGAAGATCAATAACAAGGTAGGAAATACAAAGGAAAAGGGATCCTTCCACTTATCCTCAAGGCTGTAAAACTTTTATTTGAAGTATAGGATTTATCTTAGGACATGCAAGGACTATAAGAAAACAGTGATCTTCTGTAATCCCAGCACTCAGGAGGCAAAGGTAGGAGAATTGCCATAAGTTCGAGGCCAACCTGGACTACATAGTGAGTTCAAGACCCACTTAATCTACACAGTGAAACTCTGTCTCAAAGAAAAAAAAGTATAAAGAAAAAGAGAGTCGACAGGAAACTAATCCAGCGCCTTAGTCCACTGGGGCCACACTACCATCTGACGTGACAGGAAATTAGAAGGTAGACTTTTAAAGATGAGAAAGGATCAGAGAGGGGGCAGGAAGGAATGAAAGTAATACAGATATGTTCTATGCATGTATCAATACACCAAAATTGAATCTTTTCATTTTGTATTACTAATATGCACCTTTTTTTTTTTTGCCTTTTTGAGAGACAGGGTTTCACTATGCAGTTCGGGCTGACCTTGAACTTACTTTGTATCCCAGGCTGGCCACAAAGTTGCAGTGATCCTCCTGCCTCAGCCTCCTGAGCGCTGGGATTACAGGTGTGCCCCACTATGCCTGGCTTTCACCAACTTTTTTAAATAAAGGAGACTAGGACACAGTCACAAACAGAAGGATGACTTTGTAGGGATACAGGGAGGAAGAGGTGTCTACAGGCCAAGGAAAGAGACCTTGGAGGAACCAACCCTGCCAAATTATAGGAAATCAATTTCTGTGAAGTGTTTGCAATACTTTGTGGTACTAGCAAATTAATACAGCACCTAATGATTCTGCCACAGTGGGTGGGTGAGTGGGGAGAACCCAAGTGATTCTAAAGTCTGTTTAGAAAAATAAAGGCCTAAAACAACTAAAATAATTTTGTTATCGCTTTCTCAGAAAGAAGATCAGACAGGAGATATCTATTATGCTAGATATTAAGACATTGCAGAAAGCCACGGTGAGACACAGTCCAGCATGGGCAAGGGACAAACAGACTGGCACAAGACAACTAGGGAACTATTAACAAGCTCCTGTGGAAACCCACCCCTCTGCATACTTTACTCTATGCATCTCTTCATCTGTATCTTTTGCAAAGTCTTTGAATAATCTGGTGTGTGTAAGTAAACATCTTCCTGAGTTCTGTGAGCTTCACTAGCAAATTGATTGAACCTGAGGAGGGTGTTATAGGCCCCCAATTTATAGCTGGTTGGCTAAAAATACAGGAAAAACAACTTGGAGCTTGAAACTGGCATCAAAAGTGGTCAAAGATATCTGGGGACTAAGCCCAAGGCCTATCTCCAAGTAGACAGTGTCAGAATTGCACTGAATTAGAGAACATGCAGCTGGGATTTACTTCAGAATTGCTTACTTATTGTGTGTGGGACACTCCACCACAAATAAAATTTGGATATAGAAATACCCTGTTTATTATTGAGTGTGAGAAACTGAATTTTTTTCTTTCCTCAGGAAATAAAGAACACAGTGGAAATTCTAGAACTAAAATACAAAAGGTCAGATGTGGCTAGAGAGAGGTGGTAACTTGGAAGATAAGAAAGTATACAGAAGAGTGTACAGATCAGAATGCAAGGAGTCAGAGAACACCATCAAGAGACCTGACATGCATATAATTTTGGAAACAAAGGGGAAAGAATGAAGTAGATGACAGTGTTTAATGAAATAGAGGCTGATACTTTGCAAAAATGGATGAGAGTGCAAGTCATGAGCTCTGAAAGTGTTAGAATGCCATGTGCAACAAATACCACCCCCCCCCAAAAATGCATAGCCTTTTGCTCGCTTTGGCAGCACATATACTAAAACTGGAACGATACAGAGAAGATCAGCAGGGCCTCTGAGTAAGGATGACACAAACTTGTGAAGCATTGTACATTTTTATGAAACTGCCCTATTTTAAAAGCTATAGTAGTCAAGACTACACTGGTAAGATTTGATAAACATCAGATTATATTTAAAAAAGAAAGCATAGCCAGGTAAACAAGAAAATCTTAGTTTGCAGAATCAGGGAGGCGCAAATTGCCTAAGAAAGAATAAAAATAAGATTGACAGGTGAACTCTCAACAAAAAAGAGAAGCAGTTGTCGTTGTAGGAGTGTGATTTTCTCAGTCTCTGCCTGGACTACAGAACCAACTACAGAGGGGTCAGGAGCTGAGAGACACGAAGTATTCATCACACAAATACTAAAAGGAAGACAAAGTCGCTGAATTAATGGTAGACATAGTAGAATTTAAGCCTTAAATGTAAAGAAGCACTAGTATAAAGAGTAATGTTTCCTAATGGTAAAAGGTTAAATTTACTGAGATGATAAAACAATTTTAAATTTGCATGCACTTTGACATAATCTTAAAATGTACAAAGCAAAATTGCAAGAGTATGTTTACTGCACCTTACACACAGATTTAAAACTCTCACAAATAACAGTGTCCATCAAATACCTATGCCATTAAGGACACACCCTAAACACATCATCACTGTGTGTGGCTGTCATGAAGGAAATGGGTGAGTGTGGCTGAAGTAAGAGGACCTGGAAAGACACCTGTCTTCTTTCTTTTTCTTTTTTTTTTCTCTTTTCTCTTTTTTTTTTTGGTTTTTCTCCGGTATGGGGAACTGAACTCACGACCTTGCGCTTGCCAGGCAGGCGCTTTGCCGCTGAGCTAAATCCCCAGCCCCTCACCCGTCTTCTTTCTGATGAAAGGCAGTGCCTGTGCACTCAACGGTACCATGTATATGCTGGAATCCTCCCACTTGCCTTGGGAATGCTTGGTCTGACCCTCTGAGCCAGCTGAGGATTTCTGGGTCTAATCTCAGGGGCTGGCTAGGACCTCATAGGATGGAGGAATGGGGCATCAGATCTTGGTACAGGCAGAGGGGCTGCCTACCACAGAAACTGCCCAGAGTCTGGGTGGTGGGGAGTGACACAGAGGAGCTTCCTGTGAAGTCTGTGCTGAGCTTCTGAGGCTGAAGGGTCCGGGCTGCAAAGGAGGGAAGATGGCCCCTGCTTGGTGCCGAGCCTACTCAGGAGCTGTCCTGGGCTCAGTTCTCTAGGAGAGGAGGCTGTGGGCAGGAACTGAGAGCCTGGATCTAAGGTTTTTTGGTCTCAGCCACTTCCCCTGCTTGTTCAGATACTCGCTCAAGCTCATGCTGTGCTCTTGGCAACTCTGACACAGGGTAGGGTGGGCAAGAGGAATATGGGTGAAAGTATGGGTTGGCCTGAGCCGTGGGCAGTGGTGGAATCTGCAAGCAGAGAAGAGTGATTAGCAGCTCCAGCAGGTATCCTATAGTTGGAACTCAGGAGGGGGAAGGGGCCTGGAGGAGTTTGGCCAGGGCCTCTCTGATGTCTCGGTTTCTCAGGCAGTATATTATGGGGTTGAGCAGTGGAGTCACAACTGAGTAGACCACGGACACCAGTTTGTTGAGGTCAAAAGAGCTGATGGCATGAGGTCGGGCATACATGAAGATGGTGGTGGTATAGAAGATGACAACTACCACCAGGTGGGAGGTACAAGTGGAGAAGGCCTTCCGACGGCCAGCCCCTCCTGGAATCCTCAACACAGTGGCCAGGATGTGGGCATAGGAGACAGCAGTCACCAGCAGGGAGGTTGCAAGCACTGCCAGGGCTGCCACAAAGTCCAGTGTTTCGATGGAGGTGGTGTCTGAGCAGGAGAGCTGCAGCAGAGGTGAGATGTCACAGAAGAAGTGGTTGAGGACATTGGGGCCACAGAACCTGAGGCGGGAGATGAGAGCTGTGGACACAAAGGAGGCCAGGAAGCCACCAAGCCAGGCACTGAGGGTCAGGTGCAGACAGAGCCTCGAGTGCATGATGGCTGGGTAGTGCAGTGGGCGGCAGATGGCTAGGTACCTGTCACAGGCCATGGTGGCCAGAAGGAAGCACTCAGAGGAGCCAAGTGAGAGGAAGAGGAATAGCTGGGTGAGGCAGCCCGAGAAGGAGATAGCCCTTGCCTGTGCCAGGAGGCCAGCCAGCAGCTTGGGGATGGTGACTGTGGTGTAGCAGGTCTCCAGCACTGATAGGTTGGCCAGGAAGAAGTACATGGGTGTGTGCAGTTGACGGCTGGCTCCAATGGTCCCTATGATGACCAGATTCTCCAGGACAGTCACCACATAGATGGTGAGGAATGATCCAGATAGCAGCCCTCGAAGATGGCACAGCTCTGAAAAGCCCAACAAGATGAACTCTGTCACCGGAGTATCGCTGGAGTTGCTTATCATCTTTCCTCATCAGGGCAGTCACGTCTGAGCACCCTGCAACAGCAGAGATTCAGGTGTGGTATGTGATGGGGCCAGGACCACTGCTCTACTGGTGAGTGTACTGGGGCCACAGTGACACTTTCTGCTGAACCTTTGTGGCTGCCCAAAGATCCAGAGACCTCCCTCCTAAGTTTCCCAGGTCTTGGTACTTGCTGCAGTACTTACCTTTGTCCCAGCTCTCAGTTTAACTTGTAATTTACCCAGAGCCAATGGGCCTTGGAGTCTGTACACACCAGGATGAGCAGAGATTCTCCTCTTATATGTCCATATATGTGCCCTCAGGGTCATAATTTTTCCAGCTTCAACACACAGGTACATTGCCATGTGTGTGTGGACACCTAGGTACACAGACACCCAAATGCATACCCCCAAGTGTATACTCCTCAGGTGCATGCACGTACTTCAGGTGTACACACACAGCAGGTACACACATATACTGCAGGCATGCACCCACCTTAGATGCACACACAACCCCAGGTAGGTCCATGTGCTCAGCGTGCTTCTAAAAGACTGCGTGCTCTGGTTTGTCTCTGTCCTCATCTCTGTTGTCCCTGAAGTATGCTGGCTGGCTCATGTTGCTCACAGGGACCCTCAGGACTCAGAAAGGACAGGTGAGAGTCCGGGGGCCCACCCTACAGCTTGAACAGATTGTGCGGGCTCAGGGAGGTGAGAGCTCATTCCCACCAGCGATGTCCTGAGATAGCCAAGCCGAAGGCCAGCCTGAAATCTGTTCCCTGAGCTGTCTGAGCAACAAAGTGGCCTCAAATGGGCTGTGCGATTTGGGAATTTGGAGTCAGGACACCGCTACTGCTAGAAGCCTGGATGCAGATGGGCTGACTGCACCGGGGGGCCGGGGGGGGGGGTGATCTGAGAAAGAGGATGAGGAAAGGTCTCCCATAGCTGGCAAAGGAGCTCCGGCTCAGCTCTGAGGCAGTTCCTCCCCACTTCCCTCAGCCTCAGCGTCCAGAAGGTCAGATGGTGTTGGAGCCTCCGGACCCTCTTGCCCTCCAGCAGGACGGCTGCCCTTGCAGGGACATGTGGAGAGAGATCATAGAATGGTGCATCCTTGGCCCGCCCAGCCATTTCCCCCCATTGGGCCTCCTCCCAGGCAAGCAGGAGAGCTCAGCTGAGCTGGCTGCTCCTGGCTCTCTAAGAGCTAGGAGGGGTTTCAGGCTGGGCTCAGCCTCGCAAGCGCGCGGAGGGTTCTCAGTCAGGGTGTGGCGCAGGGTTAGGACCCGCGTCTGCTCAGGGCCAATGCTGTGGGAGGGCTGAGAGGCGACTTGGCCTAAGGGCTCTGGGTGGAAGTCTGATTGTCCACCACCGCTCTCAGCATCCCAGGAAGAGAAATGGGATGTGAATCCGCAGCAGGGCGCAGCCTGCCAGAGGGCACGTGGCGAGGTGCAATCTGGTGGGTGGGCAGCTTGGACAGGCAGGCCGAGCGGGTGCAGGGTTCAGAAATGGGATACCATACCCCAGGCAGAGATGGGGGCCAGCCGCTGGGGTCTGACCTTTGAAGACAACAGGAGAGGGTGGATACCGCTGCTTCTGGGCCCAGGTGAGGGTGGTGGGAGCTGTCCCAAGACCAGGCCCTGCTATGTGGGCCGCCAGCCTGGCACTGGGAGCTGGGGGGTGCCTGGAAAGTGCTGTCCTGACCGCCTTCCTTGGGCCTGTTCTACCAAGACCAAGGTCCCACAAGCCCAATCTTCCCTCAGGAAACAAGGTCCCGCAGGTTGTCTGCATGTCTTTGAGCAAGGTGTGCTGCCTTTGGCCCCAAGTGGTCTTCATCCAGCTCCTCTGTGGCCTTATCACTGGCGCCCTCTCTCCCAGCCTAATTGCTCTCAGGGCAATTTGTGGAGGCTCTGTGGAGGCCCATGACGAGAGGCGTTCAGCTGGGAGGTGTCCCGCATCTCTTCAGTGCCAAGGGAGTTTCCCACAGAACCTGATCCCAGGATGCCGGGCTTGGATCCCTGCCTAGCCAGGCCGCAGTCTTAAAACCCTTCTGCTTGTGTTTGAGGGCCATGCACGCTGCCCAATAGACTCCAGAGCATTTGTTTCATTTTCTTTTCCGTGCACGACATTCATTAATTTATGAAAGTATTTAAAGAACATTTACAAACCTACCCTAAGCCCAAGGGAGACAGCACTAACAAATCACTGCATTCCCCTCCCCACGACCACTTTCTGGGATTCTCTTGCTGCTTAGAGTTTTCTAATTAATTACATGACTTAGTTTTGCTCATATTTAACTTTATAACAGAAGGTATAGTGCTTTATGTTTTTTTTCTACATCTTGCTTCTCCACATTGCTAAAATTCTTTTCTCAGAAATTTTTTTTTTTGTTTTGTTTTGTTTTGTTTCTGGACTGGAAGTCGAACTCATGACCTCAGGCTTGCCAGGCAGACACTGTGCCACTGAGCTAAATCCCCAGCCCCTAGAAACTGTATTTCTTGGACACTTGTATGATATCCCATGGCATGACTACAGCATAACCTGGGGCCGCTCTTTGCTTATGGACACTTGTGCCTCATTATTTGTTGTTGCAGTGATATTCCTGTGCATAGCTGTTGCTGCCTGTTGGAATAATTCTCTTGGACGTGTACCTAAGAAGAAGAATGCTGGGGTTGAACTTTGCAGGAAATTTGACAAGAAAATGCCATTTATTTTTCAAAGTAGCTATGCTAATCACATACCTACCTTTGATTCCTACCCTTTCCAGCAAATTTTTAAACTTTGCTAAATCAGTGGGGAAAAAATGTATCTCACTGTGGTGGTGATTTCTAATTTTCTGCTTCTGTTGTTAGCATCAATGTGTGTTTCTGTGAGATGCCCATTTCTCCCAATAGTGTCATCCTTTGCTTACTGATTTGTAGCTCTTTTTTATACCATTGCCTAAATATGTTTTTTTTTTTTTTTTTGAGATAGGGTCTCACTCTGTAATCCAGGCTGGCCTCGAACTCACTATGTAGCCCAAATTGGCCTCGAACTCAAGGCAGTCCTCCTGCCTCAGCCTCCCAAGTGCTGGGATTACAGGCATATGCCACCATGCCTGGTTTTAAATATGTCTTTGAGTTGTGATTTAACTAATGACTTGCACACACCTTGAGTGTTGACTGTGATGGGTTTTGACAATTGCATACATGTGTAGAACCAACACTCACCATGATACAATTTCCTTTGCTGAGAGATGTCCTGGGTGCCCCTTCTCAGTTAATCCCTGGCTCTCCACTTTGAGATAACCACTGCTGTGATGACCTTTTCTCCCAGTGCTTCAGAATATGGTGTTGAAATCTTCCCTGAAAACTCAAAAGTTTTCCATAGTTCCTCTCCATCCTGCTAGTAGGAGACAGAATGCTCCAGTTCATGTCTGCAATTCTTAGCTGAGGGTTAGGTGCTCTCTTCTTTGTGAATGCTCTGACTCTGGTTGTTGCACCTTATCTGCCTCTTGAAGTCTCATCCTGTGCAGATATAGCTTTGTTCTCTGCTAAGTCTCATGAGCACTTGTGCAGCACTCTGAGATTCCTTCTTTGCATACCTTTCTTCTTCCTAATACCTTGCTTAGAGTTTTTATAACACAATATGGTGTAACAATTCTGATACTACTATTCATGTATCTTGGAGTTGAACAATTAAGCAAATGTACAGTTGGTGATGGGAGCCAGGTTTCTGTAGGGTGGGAATTTACAGAGAAGTGATGTACTGAGGCTGGAGTGACCCATGTGGCAATGGATTGGAGCTGGAGACATGAGTGGAATCTCATGCTTATCCCAATGTATATACAGAGATGAATACATATAAAGATATAGGATCTGTGTGTATACACATGGCTTAGTCTATTTACATGTATCTCCATGCCCTGAATGTGCAGATGGTACAACACTCCAGTAGCAAGAAACACACTAGGTACTCCAGATCTTTACTTCTGATATCATTTTCTAATAAAAGGTATGAGCACTTTCTGAAAAAATGGCTGATTCTACTGCTGGGTCAGGAAATACATAAGAAGAGCCTGGAGTACCCAGTAGTGCCAGAATCTTAGGAAATGTTCAAAAGTAAAAGAACACAAATAAGCCAGTGATGGGACTAGTGGGTGTGATGGGTCAAAGGGGCTAGGAAACAATGGAAAGAACTCCCAGTGATCAAAACTACAACAGTTTGAATAAGGAGATGAGGCGGTAGTGGGTTATAACCCAAACCAGAAAGTAAAAGTCCACCAGCCATCGTTTTTTAGTACCAAATGATGAGGTTCATTTTCCATGTGTTTATTTTCCATTTGAATGTCTTTGGCAAAGAATCAAATGTCTTAATTTCAACATAGTTATAATTTCAAATCTCTTACAATTCATTCATATTCTTTTTAATGATATTCTTGGATACTCTGAGGTCAGAATAACATTTCTGTATGTATTCATGGAAATATCTTAAAAGTGCCCTGGTTATTGACTTTCTATTTTTTTCTTTTTTCATTGAGGAGAAACATTACATAAAATTAATAACAGCATACACAATTTAGTGTTTTTAAAAACATTCACAGTGTCATGCAATTACCATCTGTATTTAGTTTCAGGAAATTATAATTACTGCAAGATAAAATCTTGTAGCAGGTAGTCAGTCTTGCTCCTTCCACTCCATTCCACAGTATCTGGCAATGAAATTGCTTTCTGTCTCTGTAGATTTACTTACTCTGGATATTTTGTGTAAACGGAAGCAGACTCATTGTGTACTTTTGTGTCTGACTTCTTTCCCTGAGCATAGCGTTTTCAGGGTTCATCCACATCATACGATGCCTCCATATTTCATTCCCTTTTTATGGCCAAATAATATTCCAATGTGTATCCCATATTATGTTTATCTTTTTTTTGAGACAGGGTCTCGCTATGTAGTTCAGGCTGACCTTGAGCTCACTATGTAGCAGAAGCTGACCTTGTAGTTCAGGCTGACCTCATGATCCTCTGCCTCAGACT